CTTATCAAAATTAACTTCCTCTTTGAATTAATGTGCTTACATGCATATACATCAGCATGTCCCAAGGTGCATATATGCATCTTTGTTCATATTCCCCTGTATGCATGAGGTGATCAACATAGTCAAATTGAAAAATTAAGTTATTCCAAATCTGTGTTATTTCTCATTTTGTTCCCGGGGGGTAAATGGACCCGTTCCAAATGAAAGGTAATCTTGGGACCTGAAGTTTTACGTTTCAGCATATAATGTGGTTTTAACACTCTGTACCATCAAGTGTAAACTCTTCAGGGCAGTTTGTAGATTCCCTTCCGTGTTTATGCAACAAAGGCAATGTCAGATTGTTTAAGACTTTAGGTGCTAGGACAGTGCAAATAGTTAATAACAATGGTCAGATTCTATGGGGAGATGAGATGAGATGAGCTGGGCAGGCAGGGCCCTTAAAGAACATACAAAGCCATCCATATGAACTCTCAACGATTTGTCACTGGTTTTTCCACATGGTTGCAATACATTCCCTACAACTTTGAACACGTACCCATTTCAGTGTTGTCTTCTTGTAGCTCATAAAATCCAGCCCATGTGGGTTTCACAGACTCGTCTGTAGAGCTCGTGTACATATGTAGTGAAAAGCACAAACTTTCATCAACATCCACGTAACGCACCAAACGTGTCCCGATCCGTGCCCAGCGTATGTGGGTCACTGCAGAGCCGCGTGTCACACACACATTTACACAGCCCGACGGACACGGCGTCATTCCTGCGTGCCTTCAGCCAGGAGCGTGTTAGGGATTCACGGGAATGCCGCAGCCCGCGCAGGCAGGCAGTGTGTCCACACCTTCCAGAAGAGGGCACCTGTCTCCCGGCGCAGGCAGCGCTCCCGATCCAATGGCCCCCAGCCTCTCGCACCTGGGCACTCGCAGCTCGCCTGCCAATTTGAGGTTAAGAGTGCCAGCACAGAGTGAAATATTAAGGCAGCCGCTTGAAATTCAAAGTGTTTCTTTTAATTAATGGGTGGATGCCACAAGTTGATCCAATCCAGCTCTTAAATTAATCTTAATTACATGGATTTTGTAACTTTGGCATTAGCCAGCCACACAAAATATGTATTTCATAATCCTAGAAACGGGTGAAAAAGACTGCTGCTGAGCTGAGAAGTCAGCTGATGATGTTATCAGGCTCTGTGGCTGTGGGTGTAAGTGTCATTGGGGTGTGTCTGAGATCTTATCGGGAATACCAAATTAATTCACTCCTGCAAATATCAAAACAAGCTTTTTTACCGGCAAGTAGGCAATAGGCAAGAGATTCCTGAGCTGCTATCTCTGGAGTTTCTGTGCCATCCAGTGCTGATACAATAAAGAACTGAAGGATGAGGGAAGGAGAGCTGGTGATCTGTCCTGTTTGGTAATGAGTTTTGAGTGCATACCCAAAGAGTGCTGCTCAAGCTTTTAGCTTGTTGATTTGGACTGGGGACCAGGAATTCTGCCTTCCTAGCTCTGCCATTGGCATGCTGTGTGAGCCTGGTCAAGGAGAGGGAAGCTTTCCATCCCTGAGCTTGTTTTCCCACCCTGCATGTTTATTTGTTCAGACTTCCCTTTTTCTGGATGGGAGCTGCCTCTCAGCATGTGTCCATTCGGCACTGTATGGCATCTAGGTGCTACTCTGCTGCAGATGATGATAATGGATAAATTGAATTATCTCAGGAGAATTGATACTTGTACTCTCTGTTAGGGATGAGCATCCAGGATCTCTCTGAGCATCCATCATGCCAACTTTAAATAGAAAACAGAGCTGGGAATAGATGGTCAGGGATATTCATAGGAAATGCAGACACACAATTTGCCTAACCAGTCACTGCATATTCGTTAAACAGGAAGCAGGGCCTTGGCTATCCCCAGGGATTGGCATTCCCTTGGGATTAATGTTGCTGCTCACTGGATTACACTCCTGCTTCTGCTGATGAAACGTGAAAAATGATGGATGAATCTGGGAGTAAACACAATTGCAAACTAGTATTTAGTCATCTTGCTCTAAACCTGAGTCAGGATGAGAGCAGAGTCTGTACATAGGCCGGCATGACTGGTTGTGGGGTGGCAGAGTGCATCTGAGAACCTTTTCTGTCACTGCTGCACACCCGGGGGCAGGAGGAGCAGTGGGAAAGGCAGAGGATCTGTTTGTGTGTAAGCACAAGCTCCACAGGGGAAACCTTCTGCTGCACACAGGTGTGCACACATGCACACCTGTACCTTTCATTTGTGCCTCTATAGGTGTCCTTGTCTTCTTCATTTCCTTTACAACACAGAGACCTGAAATCTTTGTAGAAATAATTTTTCTCTAGAATGGGCTTGTGAACTCACATCTGACCTGTGAGTTCTCTTAGTGCATATCTGTGTGAAATGCTTTCTTTGAAGACAGTCCCTCCTTATTCTTACAAACTTCTTCTGTATTTGGCAGACTTTCTACTGCTGGTAGGACTCCTGGTTAGCAATTTTGCCTTTTCCTGAGGTTGCTTTACAGGGCAAGGTTAGTTTGGATATCAGTTTGAAGGATTGTTTTTATAGTACTTTTGGAAACATAAATGAGAAAATGTTAAACATCATGTCAATTTGCCTAATTGATGGGGAACTTGATTGTGGCCAGGGAGGAGTGGATTTCCCTACTTCAGTCTTACGAATAATTTGCTCATCTGAAAAGAGAGAAAATCCTGTAAATCCTGGCAGCCAACACGATTTCCCTCACAGGTTGAGACTCCCCCAGAACACAGAGAAAAAACAAGGAAATGATGTGCCTTACTCCCTTGGAACACTTTGTAATGCTGAACCTGTGTATTTGATTTGTTCTGGTTGGAGCCGATGGAGCCTTCCGTGGACTCTAATTATTTTTACTCCAATTTTGTCAGATTTCTTGTGCTTTTTCTCCAAAGCACTTGTTTCTCAAGTAACAGCAACAGAATCTGGATTAGATAGACTGCTCCTGGAACTCTGTATAATTCTGTGCTCTTGAGATACTAGAACATGCTCACTTTTGCAATTTCTAATCTCCAAAGCTTGTTGGAGTTGGTGTGACTTGAATAGCAATGATACTGAACTTCTTTGGGTTTCAAATTCGAAAACCTTTAGATGCCTGAACTCATCCAGCAACGGGGAGGAAGCCAGCAGGCAAATGGAGAAACCTTTCCAGCTTTCAGTGTAGGTAGGAAGCAGAATGAGTTAATGTTGGCCCAAAGGGCCACAATAAATAATGAGAGCTCTTCCAAGTATATCGGGGGAAAGAAATACGAGAGAGAAGGTAAGCCCATTAATAAATTAGGAGAGAGCTGGAATCAATGGTGATTCTAAAATGGCTGAGCTACTTAACTTTTTTTTTAATTGGTCTTTAAGAAGAAAAATATAGAAATGGAATATGGACCATTAGGAAGTAATGAGCATCTTGGCACCCTGGCTGTTGATGTAAAGCAGATAAGGGAACACTTGAAAGAATGGATAGCAACAAATCAGCAAGTCCAGCTGATGAGCATCCTGGGATGTTTGGCTGCTGAATTCACTGAACTGCTGGCAGGTGTTTTGAAAAGTTGTGGATTAAACAGGCAGGTCCTTCATGGTAAGTCCATATCAATAGCTCTGGAACAGAGACTAGCCTTACAAAGCTACTCCTGCACTTGATTCCTGCTATTACCACTTTACACAGCGGTTGTATTCTCAGTTTGAAGAGGTGCTAAGATGGGGTACATGAGTTTCAAGAAGCTTCAGTTCACAAATTGGCCAGACTGACAATCAGACTACGTAGCTCCTTTGCTTCACATCAGTAAAATTACCACTTTTGTCTTAGTAAACTTGCACGATTTGACTGGAGCTGATCCAATTGTGCCAGGGAAAACCCACCTAAGAAATTTTCCTTCAGAACAGCCGACCAGATGGATCCTCAGTTGCTGTCAGCTTTTTGCTGACTTCAATCTGCTTTGATTTTTCCTACAAATGATTTTTTTAATGTATTTGAACCAGCCTTGTGCTGCTGCTGAGGCTGACCTTAGTCTTTTGTACCCGCTGCTAAAGTTGCTCCTTTGAGGTGAAGTACAATAGCACAGGCTGAGCAGATCAGGGCACATTCTAGACTGTCAAAAGGACAGGCAGTGCTCAGGCACTTCTCAGGATGGAAAATCTTACTGGTGCTCTCCTCAGCCTAGAACTACCTCGGTGCTTTCTTTATCAACAGAAAGAACTATGAAGCAGATTATGAAACGCTTACACAGACGAATAATGTACTTAAGGTCTTATTAATGCCTTTCCTTGAAGTTTACTGAATAAACCATTCAGCAATACAGAGCTTCCCCAGATGATATTGTTTCAGGTGAATAAATTTGTTTCTCACATTTTCTTAACAATTGAAGTAGTTTACAGGCTTTTGCCTTAAGTTATCTTTGCAGGTTAAAAGAACAGAGCTGGATTTTATCCTGTGGTAAGACCTGTTCCCTTTCTAATTCTCCTCCAAAGGGACTCTTCCCAGGCAGGTATCTGGTTTTACAGAATTCTGAGATAGCCCTTGCTCAGGCAAGATGTATCTAAGAGTGCAGCTGCAGCCTGGAGCTTGTTAGGAGCTGCTGGTCACTGACCCCCGGGATCGATGAATGCCCAGGCAGCACGACTTGCTAACTGCATCCTCCCCTCTGCCAGCTCTGACACGGGCAGGGACAGCCCCCGGCGTGCAGTGTCCTTCAGAGCCTATAGCTGAGAGATGCAGTGCAGGATAACTCCCCCCAGGTATTTGATACCTGATTGTGTAGAGACCTTTCCATCTGCAAATAATGTATGGAATACATTAGCACGGAAGCTGAGATTCTCCAGCAGTTACATTTCAACTGTCTGTCTGTCTTTCTAATTTCTCTTCCTACGCACCTTCTTTATAACCCCCAGTGATACAGAAAGCTTAGACTTAAATGATTTCAGTGGATGAGAGGCAGGAGGTGGGGAAGGAACTAATATGAAAATTACCTTAATTTAACAGTCTGTCACTCACACTCACCCAAAGGAGCTCTAAGACCATTATCAGTGACCCTTCTAGCCACCCTGCTCTCCTTTCCTCAAACATAAACTCGAACTGTTATACACACTTATAGGTGACAGCACACTTTCTTCCCTACCTGCATGATAAGAGGTAAAATAAGGAAACGTTTGGTGTTGGAAATCAGGAATGCTATCCATATGAAGTTTGAACTTATACTTGCACAGTAAGTGTTGAGAGGACTTGATAGCACTGGTGAAGTCCAGGCATAGTTTCCATTTAAAACAGGAGTCCCAGAGGAAAAAATCATCTGTGTTAGTGGCCACCGAGGAAGCAGTTCTGGCCTTTCATTATTTATTAATATTTCTCTTGTGATAACGCCCAGGGACCCAAGCACTGGTGTGTGAGAGAAGGCTCTGAGCAGGGTTGAACAGGGACACTCAGCTGTCTCATCTCTGCAGTAATGGAGCCCTGGTTCGAGACTAAGGCTCCAAGATCCCAGTAATGAATGTAATTAGTTCTAATAATGGGTGAGGTGATACTGGCAAATGAGAGACGGGAGGGCTCTGTCGGGTTCTTAGGGCCCTGTTCTTGTTTATGCAAAGGTCCTTTTACACCAGCCTGGCAGTGCAAAGAGGTCTGAAAGATGAAGTGAAGAGTTAGGAGGTTACCCTGTGGGTCTCTGGCTGGAACATCCATCTCTGCTCATCTGACAGAGCTGGAGGGGATCAAATACCGAGCAAATGCAGTGGACTAAAATCTCCACCGGTGTAAATCAGTATCACACCTTTGATTGCAGTGAAGCTATGCTGATCAAGGCCAGCTGAGGACTTGATCCAGGGAATAAATGATTTTTGCCCTTAGTCTGTAAGTCCCAAAGTCAAGTCCTTCACGTGACATGTCCCATTCAGTGTTAGAGAAGGTCATATTTTGCCTCCTCCTCTCCACCTGGGCTGTCCGCTCTCCTCTGGATAAACAGTATTTCCCCATTGCATTCCCAGTCCCTCACGCTTCACCAGAATTAAATTCATCATTCATTTTTTATGGTTTATACATAGCAGTAATTTATGTTTTCAAATATATTGAGGTCACACTTTAGCAGAAAAAGAGTGTTTCACATTTAAATTGAAGGCATGTTCGTTCCATTAAACAGAGATGTTTTGGATAATTTTAAAAGGCTAAAAGTAGTAGAAAGTAACATTAAAATAAAATTTGAGAGATGTAATTACACCTAATCGTACCATAAAATAATCAATACTGCATTACATTATTTCTGACTTCCCCAGTTATAGCCTTTTTTTGTTAAGCTTTTGAATATTGATGAGGTCAGTGGGGTCGCAGTCGACTCTCTGAGGTCTAATGGAGGTGGAATTAAGGTGATGTCCTCTCCTATTATATCTGCACGAGGAGGTGAGCTCTATACTTTCTCAAACTGGGGAGATAACATGGCATCAGAAGCCAATACCTCGGCAACATTTCTTGAGCTGAGATTAGGCTGTCAGTAAGTGCTGACTGGGAAGCTGCAGTGCTGCCTCCCCATCGCAGACCCACTCAATTACACACGCCAGGATGCAGAGGAAATGATGTTCACATCAACAGAGATCATTAACAGCTGGAGACCAGTGTGTGTGAGGTGACAAGAACCAGTTCCTTCCAGTTCAGCCAGGGCTTTCTCTGTTCACTGTGGGAGACTGAAAAGGGGCTTTGTTGCGGCTGTTTGCTCCCTCCTTCTCTGCCCCTTTAGTCACACCCCTGCACCTGACACAGCCCTCTGGTAAAACAGCCCCCTCTGACCAGGTTGCAAAGCACTGACCCTTCAGCAGCCCTGGTGTGTGGACATGCAGCACAGCAGCACAAGCTGGGCAGCTGCTGGGATGCACTGCAGGTGTCCAGAGGGGCTCCTTGTTTCCCTGTTTGTCCCAGAAGGTACAGGTCTGACTGCATTTGGGGGAATGGGGCTCTGCCACCCTCCAGCTCTCGGCTGGAGAGGATCTGCTTTTGACCTGGAAGTGCTGTTCTTCATTTATGGGTCTTGGAGCCATCAGTGGATTAACATTTGGGAATTCTTTACTGTGTAAAGAAAGAAATTACCAGCCTGGAGACAGTGAGCTGTACTTTCTCTTGGTTCAGTGTGTGCCCCCTACTCTCTTACTTTGGACTAGGATAGTCTTCAGCATTTAAAATAAGATGTGAAATATCAGGTGGCCCATGTTCTGCACCCAAATATCTCATAATGTATTGGTTTGTGCCTTCCCACAAATAGCTTAGGATTTAACCTCGGGAAAGGGCTGGAATCTGAAGAGACATTCACCAATAACCTTTGGATTTTTATTTTGTCTTCTGTGCCTCTGTTTCTCCATCCGTACAATGAATATAAGGGGTTTTTTATTGGGGTCTGTTTTGCATAATGGAGGTAAAAAAGGTTTCTACACTTTTGATAAACTCTTTGAAAAAGGGAAGTAAATGTAATTTTTCTGGGTTCTGATAATAATCATCAAGAAGGATGGAATTTTAAAACAGAACCAAATGGAGCAGTACCATTGCATTATCCCTTTCACATTGCCACAGCATCCTCAGATTACAGCACTCATAACAAAAGGAAAGATGACGAGCAGGGCCCTATCATTACCATTAATAATAAAAATGATATAATGTATTTTTAAAACTTTCCTTAATGCAACACCAGCCCAGTCATCCCAACACACAGATTATCACATCTTCCCAAATATGTATATAAATACACAGCTGAAAGTGTCAGCAGGGGGAACATGCAAAATACAATTCAGATGCTGAATCTCCCCATCAGCTGCATTTCTCCAGAGGGACCAGTCCCCTCCAGAGGGGCCAGTCCCCTCCCACGACCCTTTGCACACAGGGCCAGCCACTCCCCAGGCTTGCTGGCTGCCTATTGAGTTATTCCTTCCCTTACACCCAGTGCTGTCCCTGGGGTCTGTCTATGTGTGTGCCCCCCACCCTCATCAATCCTGCTGTGCCAATTGCTGGGGTATTTTCCTGGTGCCTATTCCCACATACACCAAACTCTTTGCTTTCCCCTTCTCCCACCCCCTTCCATTTACTCCACTCACCCCATTTTGTTCCTGCTCTGAAATCTAATTGTTAAAGCTGGTGGTAAAGGTGGATATTTGCCCCAAAGCAAACTGACAGTGGCCCTCCCTCTGCAGACACGAGACAGCCCCGCTCTCCTGATTAGCCTGAATTGCTTTCAATTGACTAACATAACAAGCTGCTGCTGCTTTTTCTTTTTTTCTAAATTTGAAAATGGAAGGGACACTATTAGGAAATTTACATTTGCGAATATGATATTTAATTAGCAATATTAATAAATTAATAGAAGTAAAGAACCTTGTTGAGACTCCAGATTAATAAAACATGCTCTAGCTGAGTAAATGAGGTGAGCCAGGCATGTGATGCCCATAGAGGATACAGGGGAACTCTCACTCCCCAAATACCCCTTCAAAGAAAGAATGGGGGGCAATAGTGAATGGGGGCAAGGCCTTTTCTATCTTACAGTACCTCTCACACTCACACATTAGCCCTTTCCCTGTCCTGCTACAATACTTCCACAGGAAATTAAGCACAGCTTTTCTGCCTGCCTTCTCTTTGCCCTGACAAGAGGCTGAATGAGTCAGTGGAGGGGAGTGAAGGAGAACCAGTGCTTGGAGCTGAAAGGTAACAGCAAGGCCAGTGCAGGGCAAATGCCTGGAAATGTTTACTCACATCCATAGAAAGCAATAAAGGAGACTCACAGCATTTCCTGATGTGACCACAGAGTGTCCAGCTTGGTGTCTCCAGGGCACTTGGGGGGTTTTGCCTCAGAGGGACCCTCAGTCTGTGGCAGACAGAGCAGGAGGTGATGTCTCAGCACAGGCTCAGGAAGGGAGGCAGTGCAGCAGTGTCAGTGTGGGCTCAGCTGAGAAGAATGACCACATTAAGCAAAGGTCTGGCACAGCATGAGATAAACTGCTGTGAGGTTCACAGGGGTCAGACCCAGCCAGGTGTCCCAGGCTTCATGTGCATCTGTCACTGCTTTGAGTCTTGGGGGCTAACCCAAACTGGGACTCGTCCTCTGTCGCTCACTGACCCACCAGTCTGCAGGGCCCTCCAGCATATGCTGTAATTTAGGCATTCCCAATCTGGGGGCAATGTTTCTGTGCCTCATCTGTCCTTGAAAAGCTTCTCAGAAGAATGTGGTACAGTCTTTTTTCCATTCTGCTTCATTAGTGTGGGCAGTGGTTCAGAGGAGACTGGGACATCAGGACTCCAGGGATCTAGTCAAACAAGAGGCTGCAGTGCCAGGTGACTTCAGTGACTTCATCTGTCACTAGGTCTGGGACAGAGGGGAAGAATGTGGTTTTCTGTAGTCTAGAGGTGTATGTGGAGAATCCTTCGCAGCATGATGGCAGAGAATCATCAACGGTGTGGGCATTTCTTAGCTGGTGAAGTACTACTGTGTCTATGTGCAACAACTGGTACAGCCTCTTACCCTGACCCCTGGCTCAGGAGGGAAGGCAAAGGATAAGCAGGGCCCTTGGGAACCAAGCTGGCAGCCAGAGCAGCAGCTCTCCTGGGGCCTGTGTGACATTCACACACATCACTGTGAAGTCACGCTCTCCTGCGGAGCATGGGAGAGGTGATTATTTATTAATGCACCGAGCACTGTCCCCATGCATCACTCTGCCTTGCTCTGCTGCAGCCTCAGCACTGAAGCACTGGGACACCACAGACCTGTGGCTCTCCCTGTGCACACCAAGGGGAGATGTCTCAGTGCCTGGGAGGGACCCCAGAGATGGGCAGTGATGCTGGAGGAGGAGAAGGCAAACACGTTAATTGTCTGAAATGATGTTGAGGGGTTTGTAATGCTTTCTGCAAGCTTGGCTCTCTCAGATCAGCTCTAGACTCAAAACCAACCAGCCTGATGCTCTGTGTGCCTGCCCCAAGAGCACAGGGTGCTTTTCAGTTCTGACACAAGTGCTTAGTGGGCAAATCTCTCTGTCTCCATGTTCTCCTCTACATGTTTGGAATTGTATAACGTGGGACATTCACAGTTCATCCTGCAGTGTTGTTCCCTCATTGTAAAGTGTGTGGAAAACTCTACCAAGTGTAGGTTCTCACTCCAGAAGAAGCACTTCTCTTTGGTGTGAGGTACAAGAAGGATAGGCAGGGCACAATCAGTTTCCTTCTAAAATCACAAAAAGGAGGGTAAGGAGAGGGATGTGAAGACCTTGCCTGATCCCACAGTGGCTCAGCTGCGCTACTCCCGTCTCCAGGGATGGCTTGTCCACACTTTGTGGTTTGTTCTGTGCTCCTGATGCCGACACCTCCACTAATTGTGGGAAAGTTTGCTATTAGAATGGCATGTACACAGGCCTCCTGGGAGAGGTGGAGTTCCAGGAACAATTAGGAAATGGCATAGATGCTTGGGGACTCTGGCTTGCAGTGCCACCCTTGGTAGAGCGACAAGTATATGGTAGGTGTGGCAGAAGAAGAAAAAAGAGAAAAATTGGCTTGGGTGGGGTGCAGGGAATAGAGACGGGTGAGAAAGGCATGAGCTCATAGATGTAGGCAGGAATGGAGCTCAGCAGCATGTGGATGTGAAATATGCACTGGGATCATCTTGGGATAAAGGAGAAGTCCTAGTGTAGGCAGTCATTACTCTCGGAGATGTGGGCCCTGATGAGGCCCTCTGAAGCTTAGCCCCGAGGTGGGGCTGCCTTTGATGGCAGCACCTCCACAGGCTGTGGGGCCGTGCCTGCAGCGAGCGAGGGCAGCTGCCTGGGAACCACCTCCTGCCTCACCCTGCACCGTGGGTGCCCTGGCTGTGGATGGGAGGGTGCCTTGCTGAGGGTCTGCATGGTCAGCTGTGTGGTCTGCAGGGGCGAGGATAGGGCTGCAGAAAAGCTTCCAGACCAATGGCTTTTTTTGTTACTATAGGCCACTTTTTGCCAACATCTTGTAGCCCTTGGATCTCAAGATATGGAGACACAAGGCCTTTGTAAAACGTCCTCTGCAGTGTTCAGTCTTGCCTTTCTTCTCTCCTTCTCATCCATGGATTATGAAACACTAGGATAATTCAAAAGCAAATTTGAAATACCTGGACTGAGTGTTCAGGGCCCATTCCTGTGCCTGGCAAGAATCCTGAGAAAGAAATCCCGATCCCTTCATGCTGCCCCAGGCATTGCTGCTTATCGCCCTCTGTGTGGGCCTGACGCATCCCAGAAAAGTGGGCATGCACCACCTAAGCTCCCACAGACATGCTGCTCTGCCACTGCATCTCCTTCCTGACCTGCTCTTCCTGTCCTGGCTCTTTCCTGAGCCCAGGTTGCCAGACAGGGCGCTGCTTTTCTGGAGCATAGGCCATTCCAATGTTATCTTCCTCTGTGGCCCAGACCCAATTTCACTCATGTGAAAGACTTTCCACCACTACCCTGTCTAATCCCTTGCTTCTGGTGACAGACACTCAGGGAAAGCTTGAAGGAGTGTCTGGGTTCATTCACCAGCTGTAGCTCTGTCCCGGTACTTGGAACTGACGCCCATGTAAATGGCAAGAGAGGAAATTGTAGGCAGAGGACAGACAGTGAGGAGGGTGTTTCCTTGTGCAGTACTTGAAGGACTGGGGACACGATCATCACATCCCTGAGCGTGACTCTTGAGGCCCTGGCGCTCCAAGGGTCACGTCAGTTTGTCCTGTGAGTGGGCAGAGTCCCCCCGAGTGCACTGCAGGCCCCCCGAAGGCCTGTGCTCTCAGTGCTGCTGTGCAGCTGGGGGGGGTTATGGCACCATGGACTGTCCTCCTGAGGGTGTGGTCCCCACAGAGAAGACCTCCCAGCAGTCTTATGTATTGCGTTGGTGTATTGGGAGAACAGCAGGAAAAGAACTAATTCCTGGCTTTTTATGCCTGGAGGAAGCACCGTGGTCGCCTGCCCTGAGCACTGGGATTTGCAAGGTGCAGCAAGGCAGACCAGCTGCAGGGAATTAATTTCTCCTGTTCCAGGCGCTCTCCAAACTCTGAATCTGCGAATAAAAGTCAGGCTGGGGAGGGTGCATTTTTGGAGAAAGCTCTGAGGCTGATGTAGCTGGAGATCCACAGACCTGTGGGATTATCTGTGGAAAAACCTGTACAGTGCGTGTTCAGTCCTTTAACAGGTAGTAAATTCTGTACAAAACTTTTGTTTGGCCGTTGTAACTTTTCACATGCGTGTGTGGGGCTGACTTGTCCGAGTACTTTCCTCTATACAAGGACTTGGGATGGGGATCTCTCCTGTGCTCCCGGAGACCCCTCGCAGAGCCCCCCAGGCTGCGGGGCCCGGCCGGGCCGGCGGGCAGCAGGGGGCGCGCGGGGCACGCCGGAGCCGCGGGCTCGGCTGGGCTCGGCTCGGCTCGGCTCGGCTCGGCTGGGCTCGGCT